CATTTATGGAACACTGTGTTGTCTTTGCTCTCTTGGAAAAGGGGCATATATTGCAGGATATCTTTCTGCTAATGGTACTGACACAATGCTTGAGTGACTGGCACCTTTAATACGTGAGGCTGGCCTCACCTATTTGTTAGTGGCAACAGTAATGTTGATCTTTTTTAGCTTCCTCGGATAGGTATCCCAATGTTCTACAGTTTGATTCTGGCATCTGTCTATCCAACTATCTAGATTTATATCTATCAGCTATCTGCCTGTCTATCATCTATCTTTTTATGTCTATCCACATGTCTATCTACACCTTCTGTCATTTATCTATACCTACATTTATATCTATACACATCTATCATCTATCTGCCTATCTGTCCTCCTTCCTGATCCAGTTGATCATCATCTGAACCATTTGGGGGTGCTCTAATAGTGTGAATAAAATGATTCATAATGCCCTCATTAACAGTAAGCCACTTATGAATCAATGGGAAGAGTCTTGCTATATAGGGAGATCTGGGGTGATCAAAGTGTGTCATCTACAGCATTCCCTTCAACATCACATTGACGTGTGTCACAAAGAGAAACGTAACAGCAATGTAGCTAATATCTAATGAGCAAATTATTCACACTCTAATCAAAACACAAATGATGTTGACAACATAAATGAGATCAATGTTAGATGATATCCTTGCAAATGTACTTAACAGTGATGGTTCTAAATTTACAATTTATAACCATGTCAAGTCTCAGTGTTCAAGTAGTTATATTTTCTCGATCCTTTGTAGAAATGGCACCACAAGGAGCGGAGCAGGAGATGAAAGAGATGGTTACCTGAACACAGTCATTAGCCTTGAAGATGCTTTAAGCATCACCATCATTTCCAAGGGTGACAGAATGAAAATGTCATGGGTGCTCCGCACTGTGTGCACGCTTCCTCAAGTCACCCTCAAGCAAAGAAGGAAGCGACAGGAACTTAGCACCAAGTGCTCTGTCCTCACACACAGTGAGACAAGATGATGGTGGAGTGATTCTGGCCTATCCACAGTCCTCTCAGGACACAGTGGCTCTGGCCATTGTACATGACCATGGATTCCTCACACATGGCTTTAAATATCACTACACTGAAAGCATCCGTGTGCATATCCACAAATCCACAGATTTCTGGCCCCCAACACATTGAACTATGTATGCTAAAGCAGGAGAATAGACTTCACAATTTTTTTAAACTCTTCTTTAATTAGTTTAATCATATACATCTTTACTTTTGTTTCAAGAAGGTCATATTAATTAATGTTAATTTTTAAATTATTAGTACATCTACCAGCGAGAAAAAGCATTCTCAAGTATTCTACTGAGAAAAATTAGAAAACTGGTCACTTAAGGAAAATAAGAAAGAAACAAGGCTAGAGATGACTCAGTGGATATGAACACTCACTGTTCTTCCAGAAGATGTAAGTTCAGATCCTAGTACCTACTTTGGCTCACAACTGCTTATAACTCCAGCTCCAAGGCATCCAACAACTTCTCTGGCTGCCATGGACATTCCCACACAAGTGCTTATACCCATAAGCAAGCATACACACATAAATCAAAATAATAAACATAAACCCACTCTGAGCACTCTCTTCTATGTGCTAAAGAGCTCCTAGTAACCTTGAACTCTTTGTCTTTGTAATGGAAGAGAAAACTCAATTAAGAAATGAGTTTCTGGGCTATCAAAACTCATGTGTAAAGAGCTGGCCACACAAGCATCAAGATCAAGTTCAAATCCCCAGAACTCATGTAGAAACAGAATAGATTAGCATGCGTGTCTGTGATCACAGTATATCTACAGGAAAATAGGGATGATGAAGACAGAGTACCCAGAAAGCCTTGAGTGCACAGCCACAAACCACAAGAGAGACCCTGCCTTAAATAAGATGGAAAGCAAAGAGGGCCTAACCACAGAAGCTGTCTGCTAACCTCCCCATGTGTACCATGGCCTGAACGCAGCAACGATACACATGTATGAACACACATGATCATACGACACATTAAATTCTGAAAAACATGAGTTCTGAAAATAACATTTCAAATATATCCAACAGAAGCCATGCACACTAATCTAAGTAAGCAACAAATGCCCAAATTGATCCTACCCACCACGATATTCACATCATATCCTCTGGGGACATTATTCTATTATACCTTCCAGATACCTACTTCCTACGACATACTCTTTTATTTCACATCAAATTTACATATCAAAGTGTTTTGTATCTTCAGTCAGCATCTGAAGCTTTTATTAAACTCTATTTGACTTCCAAAATTATGCATAAATAAAGGCAAACTTGAGAACACCTGATGATAAGCATTGCATATTTAATTCTATTCTAGTGAGGGAAAGGCCTCAGAAGCATCACATTCTACATCTAAGATTTTGTAACCGAGTCAAGCTGCTGGTCTCCTTGTTCCCATAAAATGGGAAGGGGCTAAATGCTCACAAGCAAATCCCTGCTATGCACTATGCTTCCATTGGGTGTAGCTATGATATTAAAAAGGTGCTAGGCCTCCCTGTGTACACATGAAAGATGCTGGGACAGTCAGGGATATGTAGGAACTTTATCTTTAGGATTAAATTATTTTAATCACTCATACATTTGGGGAAAACCAAAAAAAAAAAAAAAAAAAAAAAACATTTCCAAGCACCAGGTCAAGATAGTTCTCAGCACAGCACGTCTTTTCTTCCCCCCAGAGAAAGAATCCCATAAAGTTAAAAATCAAATGTAATTAATGATTGTTTCCACATAGTTGGCTTCCTCTTTTTAACATGATTGTGTGAATCACACCTAGTTCAACACCTTCTGTGTATACAGACATCTGTTGGGTAAACTGGAATGAAGATGAGGTAACTGCAGGGTCTGGGAAGATGGCTCTGTTAGTAAAGAGTTTGCCACACAAGCACGAGGACCTGAGTTCAGATCCCCAGCGCCCACATAAAAGCCAGGCATGGTGGGTGATATGTGCCTGTAATCCTAACTTGGGAAAGGAGCGGGCAGGCAAATCCCTGGAGACAGTGGCTAGCCCTTCTGATGAACCTGCTGAGTTTCTGGTTCAGCAGCAGATTTTGTTTCAAAAAATAACACACACACACACACACACACACACACACACACACACACGCCTCCTCTATCCAATGCCAGTTCTAGCAGAATGTCTTGAGATGTATATTTATACTAACAGAAAGGAGCCCACAGTATTTCTCCTAAAATGCAAAGACAGCTTCCATGCTGAGAAGAAAACTGTTACAGCCTTTCTTAACAACACCATATGTCTCCAAGTGGATCATGACGAAGTCAGTTCACAGGGGGATGCTCCCTGTGGAAGCTAACCGAATCAAAGCAGAGCTTGGCTTCATGCACACTCACTGATTAACCAATAACCTGCCTTAGCCTCTTCTCCATCAGGGTCTTCCTGCTTTCACAACATCCTCCCCAAGCAACCAAATCAGTACAAAAGTCCTGGCTATGCTACCAAACGTAATCTCTCCTTTTGTTGACATTTTTCCCTCTGTATAACTTCAATCTGTTTTATGGAATTGAGAAGCTAAATTCCCAAACCCTCTGACCAATTTCAATGATAGTTGTGCTATAGCAGTAATTGTTGAAACCCAGAACATAAATGAGTACACACATATGTACTTATTTCCACTGAGACATAAATTAACCAACATACTCTCAAAAGTTCTTTAGATACTATAATTTTTCTCAGTTCAGAACTTCATTAAATCTTAATTTTTTATATATTAATATGAAATACCATTTTTAGAGATAGGATCTCAGGCAGCCCAGACTTTAAAGTCTCTATGTAGCTGAAGACAGCCTTGAACTCCTGATCCTCCTGCCCCTACTCCCCAAGTACAGAGATGACATCTGTGAGCCACCATGCCCAGGTCTCATGAGCTGTTTTTCGATGCTAATATGCAACATCAAATACCTTTCTTGTTCCCTAGCAGGTTGAGCCAAGTTAAGGTGTTCAGAAGTTCAAGAGACATGATATATTTTATTTTTATGTAAATTTAACTCTTAATAACATAAAGTGGTATCCTTTTACAATGTATATAAAACTCAAGATTTCTGCCTTGAGAAAATATAAAATGCTATGTGGTAGTATAGATTGGCGCTTTTAATAATCTCTCAAACTCTCACATTGTTGTAAAATATAAAATTTTTGCACTCAGATTTCATGACTGTCAAATTGCCATAATGTTTCTATTCTTGCTTGCCTTTGCACATTTTCCTTACAGGTGGACAGTGGTGTTTGGTGTCCAGTATGAGCCTTTCCAGCTCTCCTCTGACTGTCATCACATAGCCACTTAATTCATGGTAGATAAAGATTTCAACAGTCATGCTGAGTGTCACAAGCATCCCTCATCTCAAGGACACCTACACTTTGCTCTGCTTCCCTTCTAATCCACTTCAGGGAGCCAGCAGAACAAATTCAAACACAGAACAATGAAGAATCCCCAAGACAGCCTGGAAACCAGTTGAAAAACAGAGTATGAACACACACATTTATGGACTGGAGAGCTGGCTCTATGGGTTAAGTGCCCACTTTTACAAGCATGAGGGCCCAAGTTCAAACCCCCAACATCCATGTAAAAGCTAGTCATAGCTGTGCACTGGGGGATAAAGACAGGCACATCCTTGAAGCTCACTGGCCAGCAGTATAACCAAAATGGCAAGCTTCCCATTCAGTGAGAGACCATGTCTCAAAGAATACAAAGGAGATTGAAAGGGAAGGCATCAGTGTTCCCCTTTGACCCTCTCCTGTAAATGTGTGGGCATTGTACTCACATGCGCATGTGCATGTGCCACATATACAACACACACACACAGATCTGAAGGAAAGATAAATGAAAAACAAAATCACCTTTACGACAGCATCCCCGCCAACAGCATGCAAATGATTTAACAATGGCCATAAGACTTTAGGGCTTTTTAGTGGCTTCTGACAGCATTTCTTACCTGGGATGCCTGGTGGTGTTTTCAGATATTTTCCATTAAAATGTTGAATTACAACTTCACATTTTTCGGTAGACTCCATTCTATGGGGGGAAAAAAGTATGGGTGGGTGAACATGAGAGTATATACTTCTGTCAAGTTGTTCTTATAAAAATAAGCAAGAAAGGGTAATAAGAAAGGGACACATGTACATGGATTATCACCGGCTGTTACAGCTACCATGGTGGGCTCGTGGGACTTGGGAAAGTTATCATTGTGCAACGTGCCTTCCCCATATGGTTACCCAGGTGATTGTCACAGAGCTAACCTGAGACTTTCTTCCTTCCACACAAGGTAGCTTGACAGTCGAAAGCATTCAATAGCTGCTCACCAAATGACTGAATTAGCAACCCCTGAGAGGCAGGTTGTAGATGAAAGTTTGTGTGCTACCTGGTCCTACAGTCATTTAGTCCCAAACAAACACACAGAGGCTTATATTGATTATAAACTATTTGGCCAATGGATCAGGATTTTTATTGGCTAGCTCTCTCTTAATTATTAACCCATTTCTTTTAGTCTATGCATCTCCATGAGATCTTGGCTTACCCGAGAATACCTGGGCATCTCACATACCTGGTAGCTACTTGGCGTCTTCTTGACTCTGTTTACTACCTTTTTCTACCCCTGCTTAGATTTTCTGCCTGGCTATATCCTGCCTGGCCATTGGCTGGAATGGCTTTATTCATCAACCAATCTGAGAAACATTTATTGACAGCATACAGAAGGATATCTCCCATCAATCAGCAGGTCATATCAATGAGGAAATGGAGGCCGGAGAAGATAAACTATCTCTCCAGTAAGTGGCAGAGTAGGGATCTGGACCAACACCAGCCGTGGTAAAGTCTGTGCTGTGACAACCTGACCACAGTGTGAAAATGATGCACTATATCTGAATAGCTTGCTGCCTGTGGTAGTGATCACACGGTGGGAGTTATCAGCCCTGTGGCACTTTTATGGAAAGTCACAAGGAGAGAGTTATTTGGGGTCCCTACATGTTGCAGGAAGCTAAAAGAACCCCTGAAACATACTTTCTTCATTTTAGAATTCTGACTACTCCTATTCATATTTTATATTTAATATTAGGTACCAAGATTCATAAAATGAGGTTTCTGTGTAAAATGTCAGCATCTCATGTACAATCTAAGGGGAGGGCACATTTAGCAGCTCCAGCATCATCATGTTATTCTTGGCAAGGTTGCCCTGGCTCGGGTATATCTGCAAAAAATTCCGAAAAAATCAATTGTATGTGGCTCTCACTTTGTTGTTTCTACAAGTGCATTTGTGTGTGTGTGTGTGTGAGAGAGAGAGAGAGAGAGAAAGAGAGAGAGAGAGAGAGAGAGAGAGAGAGAGAGAGAGAGAGAGAGAGCTGTACCTGTGGAGGCTAAAAGAAGGAGTCAGAGCCCCTACAGCTAGAGTTAGGAATGATTGTGAACCACCCCAGGGAGGTGCTGGGAGCTAAACTCACGTTGTCTGGAAGAGCAGTAAATGTTCCTAATTACAGACCCATCTCTCCAACTCCCTAAATGAAAATTTAAATAGATAGAACACACACACACACACACACACACACACACACACACTATCATTTGTTACTTACGGACAAGAACCCTAGGACCCTAAGATGTTAGGATAAGAAAAGCAAGACATATGTTCCCCCATTCTAAACATTTGGGAACAGGCAAACACAGCTCTCTCCATCTTCACACTTCCTATCTAGTACACCCTTGGCCATACACTCTTCCTACTCCCGTAAGTTTTTATTTTTAAGTAGGAAACTTGCTTTTCTAGGAACAAAAGAATTCTGACTGTGTCTCCCTATCTTCCCACAGGATCGACTCTCTGTGGCCTCTTTGCAGAAAGCTTTCTCCTAGGAGGGGCAAGAATGAGAGAGGAGATCGAGCCCTGAACTCCCACAGAAGGAACATTAGTGGGGTTTTATTCTAGGGGGTAAAGACAGAAGGCTCCCACCTAGGGTCCCTTCTCTATTAAGTCCTCTCTCTGTGAGCTCATGTAGATCAGACAGTGGGGACTAAATGTGCAAAGCCCCACAAACCAAGCCCTTTCTCCTTGTCCTAAAATGGCAAGTAGTTTTAAAGGAAGACCAAACAGAGCTGAAGGTTACAACGTGCAACTGCTGATTTTGTGAATACAGAGCAAGCTAAAAGGAAAATGGGCTGCTCTCCACCTCACATGCCTACCCTATTTTTACTCTGGTCTGAAAGTTTCAAATCATCCCTTCTGGGTTCTAAGTAAGACCGTCTTTTTTTAACACCATTTTACAGCCAGGACAGGCCTGCTGGGGGCTCTTTCTAAGAACACAAAGACAGCAGGCAGCAGGCGGCGTGGATGGCTCACTTTGGGTTCATTCAGATCTAACTAAGTAGATGTCTGCTGTGAGCCACCTCTGATCGAATAAACACAATAAAAGTCTGTTTTCTGCGGCTGTCGTCACGAAGTGTCAAGGCACATTACCTTGTACCACCCAGCGGTGACAGTTTTCATTCAGATACACAGGGCCACATCTGAACAAAGCAAAGCAATGATGGCTCAAGTCTCTAGGAGTGCCAAGGGGGCGGGGACAATGTTCTGGAAGCGGAACAATAGGGAGACCTGTAGGTGAATGCCTGTGTTAGCCAGAACATGCCTATTTTCTCCTCAGGTTTCACAGTTAAGTGCTCTGCGAGGCTGCCAGCTCGAGCTATCTGGAATCTGGCTGCTGCTTGGGTTGAAACTGACACAAGCACTCTCAAGGATGCTTGAGAAGACAGCCACAGAAGCCCCCGCCTTTACCAGTCCCTTTCAGCAGAGATTCTATTCTTACAGGAGGCACCTGAGGCCTCCCCCGCCCCCACCCTGCAGAACAGCTCCAGGGTGGGGCCAGCCTCCTGAGAATGCATTAATGAGGCTCCAGTCACTGTGTAAAGCTTCTGGGGTTTTGTTAGGTCTGCCATTTAAACATAAACGCACGTTCAGGGTCCTGTTTCTTTCTTCTTTCATGACCTGAAACTGCTGGCTTCAGTCACTTGAAACAGACTAAGGAACTCTGTTGCTCCTGTGGCAGCTGCCTCCTCCTCGCTTGGCTCCTTCCTCCTCCTCCTGTTCTTCTAAAGCAACTGCTTCGGCAAAGAGAAACCAATTTCACAGCTCACACAATTCCCACAGTCAAACTGCAATAATCGAGAACCTGATCTAGCATTGGCAGAAATGTTCTGGATCGGGCTTGACGCACAGAGGAAGAAAAGTCATGTGCAAAACCATGTTCAGCTTAACTCTCTCACCTCAATAGAGAGCTCTCAGTTCACGATCTGAAAGCTCTAAGTATTATAAGCCACAGATTTAAAAACAAATCCATTCCATCATGTGTTATGCCTAATTAGAGGTTTCCTGCTCTTGTGAAATGTTTGGGGTTTTGCAATCATGGGCACAGGATAAATTATTGGTGACTTGCAGCATCCAACTTTGCGAGCCAAACTTCCTCGTTTCTAGTAAGATTTACACAAAGCATTAATGCTATCAGAAGAATTTTAATGACTAAAATGTGTGCTCTTTCTAGCATTTCAAAACTAAATCACGTCATTTGCTCTTTTAACCCATTGCAACATAGAACAATGGTGAATCCCTACAACAAATTAAAATAAATAATTGTGTGGCATTCTTCTTAGGCTCTCTCTCTCTCTCTCTCTCTCTCTCTCTGTTTCTCTCTCTCTCTCTCTCTCTCTCTCTCTCTGTGTGTGTGGGGGGGGGGGGCGCACTCTTATGCATGCATACATGAGGAGGGCAGAGGACAACCTCAAGTAGCATTCCATCTGCATTTCCTTTGAGGTGAAATCTACCCACCAAGTAAGCTAGGCTGGCAGGCAATTGGCTTTGTTCCAGTGAGATGTCTGCCATTCTTAGGACACCTGTGATGAGTACCAAACTCTACAGCAAAGTGGCCTCTCTGCTGTCTCCCTCTGCAACATGTCTTGGTGATTCTGCATTAGAAAACTCACTCCTCTTAGAAATGGGATCGTGGTTAATTCTCGGCCCTGAAAGCCACCCCTTTTTGCTATTTTGGGAATGGAACATGGGACCTCAGGTATGCTAAGCAGAGGCTTTACCAGTGAGCCACATGCACAGAGCCACTTCTTAGAATCACATCAAGCAGTGGCCCTTGGGAGGATACCTGTGCTCCATCAGATAGCCCTACAGCCATGGACATACACACAGTAGTAAGTGGACTGAGTAGGATTAAAGGTGGCCATGTGAAATCTGGAGGAAAAAGTCGGGGTCGTAAGGGAGGAATTGTTGGGGAGATACTGGGGATGGATTTGATCAAAATGCATTACATGCATGTATCAGATTTTCATACAACAATGAAAAGTTTAAAAAAAAAAGATGTATCACATTGCTGAGTAAGGAATTATCTCAGATGTCATTTCCTCCATTGCTTAAATTAAAAAATAATCAAGCTTTGCATTTGAGGAGCACCACGGGTGTCTTCCCTGAAGACTAGCTAGCATATGGCCTGGACCAGAAGCTGCTGCTCCTTTCTGTCTATTGAGAGGATTTTAGAGGGGACAGACCACCATCATCAGCCTCGCCACTGTCCTAGTTCATTTCTGCTGTGATGATTAAAATGTCCTGACACAAAAGCAATTCATTAGACTAAGGGTTTCTTTCAGGTTAAAATTCAAGGTTACACACAGGGGAAGTCAAGGCAGGAACATGAAACAGACATGCCACATCCAGAGAGAAATGAATGCATGCACGCATGCTTCCTGGATTGCTTGTTCTCAGCTTAGTTTTCCACTCTCGTTCAGTTTAGGATTTCATGTCTAAGGGAATGGTGCTACCCATAGTAGGCTGGGCCTTTCCATAACAATCAGCTTCATTAAGACAATCATCATAGACATACATGGCCACAGGCCATGTATTAAATTTATCTTTCCTGGTGATTCCAGATTGAGTAAAAATGGTGACTACAACCACCCTTCCATCATACCATCCCTTCTGATCCTCTGCTGATTTATCTCATCTCACTCAGCCCTCTGTCTTGATCACA